GAGGAATTTCAGCCTTTTTTGTGAACATTTCGTGCGACTCGACTGTCGCTGATGCCTCCTGGACCGTGGATCGTCTTCAATGCCTCTCTTTCAAACTACGATCTGGCAATACCACTTAAAACGTTTTTTACGACTCATTGGCTCATCATCCATAATACGTTGTATCATTTCAAAGTTTCTTGTGGCACTTTTACCCACTTGTGAAACAAACTTATTGTTCGCGACGTTGCTCCAGTCTCTTTTCATGACGGAGGGTCAAAAACATTACTGTTGCAGTTTTATTGACTGCGAGCAGTCTGTGATGGCAACGCTGTCCTTTTAAACGGGAAGGTAGTCGAAAACACAACACTACTTAATTCCTGCATCAGATCACAGATTGTGCGATTGGGTCCGCGAATAGAAAATCAGTCACCTTTTCGTGGGACGGACTGTGTACATTCAAGTATGCTCGGTTGTTCGTTCCTCCAGAAGAGGTTTTTTTGGTAGAACTTTTGATACGTACGTTGTGGAAACTCGCAGTTTTAGCAGAGTTTCTACCCGACCTACTAGAGAGACTGTAAATTGTGCAGGAATAATTTTGAACTAAGATAGAAAAATTAAATAAGGTCACTTTTACTTTTCTCGCTACTATAACGTAAGAAGATAAAGTAGTATGTAATTGGTCACTGGAGAACGGCAAAATTGGTCGAACCTCACAAACTTTTGTTGAGGGCTTGGTAGGAAAAAGCGAATAAATCGTTTCTTAAATATAGAAAAAAAGTCTTCTATATTCCATGTTGTAGCCAGAATCCATATTTAGTGAATTCTTATTCGAAAAATCGATTGACGCAAAACGTCTGTTTGTCCCCTGTAAAAAGCTGACGATAAACCGTTCAGCCGATTTTCTCAGAAATTAATACTCCAGTGCGGCTCGTGCCTATTCGCACGACCTCGCATGTGCACACCCCAATAATTCGGTGCCATTTTTCTCATATATCTCTAAACAAGAGGGGAATAACAAGTCCTCTCGGAGCGTTTCCGAATCCTGGAATTTTAAAACACGCACGTTCAGAAACAGCGATTGACAGTCCGCAGCCACTGTCACTTCGTGAAAGCCAGCGGGCGCACCCTTCGGAATTGCGAACGAGTTGAGGCGGCATCTCTAGGCTGCGCGGGGGCTGAAGGGGTAAGAGTGGAGAAGGGAAGGAACAGTGAGTTTATGGAAAACAGTGGGTCTCTTTCCGTTGACATCCGAACATTTCGAAAATTTGAAAGAAAAAAAAAGAAATTAATTGGAGAAAGAATTTTTGTCTCAAAGACTGTTGTACAAAATAGCTTCTTCCAAAAAAAGGTTATATGTTCAAGTTTTTTGAGAAAAAAAAAGCAATAGTTTTTTGCGATTGAAATTTACAATGATTTTCTCAATTAAGGCTCCAAATATTCACTTGTGTAATAAAAGGCGATAGAAATATGGTACTTAGTCTCATTTTCGGGTATTGGCTCGTGTTTTTTTGAAAATTATGTAAAATGTAATAATTGAAAGTATGAGATTTTTGTTATCAGACGAAGTGTTATTGTACAAAATAAGATCTAAAAATGGACATGTAAATTATTTTTTTTGGAAAAAACGAAGAGAAGTTTTTTGGGTATCTTTTTTGCTTGATATTATTGTAATATACTTATATCATCTCAAGTTTCTGGAGAGCCAGGGGTGCGGTGGAAGAGGGGGCTCTGTCACGCATTAAAAGGGCATATCAACGTGAGGCATGACTTAATCTCCGTTCAAAGTCGTCTGCGAGTAATAGCTAGATTGTGATAAGACGAGGGGGTTGAAGCCAGCATTGAAAATTGGTAAGGTGCCGTTCCGAGCCGAACCTAAGTATCTGAACGTGCCGTGCTATTCAGCACTGGGTGAGAAATAGGCGCTCGTGTATCAAGAAAACATGCGCGAGATATTATACGATTTTCACACCATACTGGGCTACGAAGAAAATTGAAATGAATGATATTGAAAATATAATTTTAATTTTTATTTATTTTTTTTTTGAAAATGCCAATATTTCTATTTTTCTTTTCTCGCTTTTTTTTTGTTACCCAATTGTATCTGGATTTTTCTTTGTTAAACAATCCGCAAACCCTAATATAATCGATTTGAAAAGGACGAGTCGCGTTTTTTGTATGTCTTCTTCTTCTCAGACACCATGTGCTCTCGCTTTGTAAGAAGCAAGTCTTTGATGCATCTGAAGATGGATGTTAGATAGTCGCTGAGAATTGGTATCGTTTACGTACGAAAGGTCATCTTCATCGAGATGTTCAGTAGATAGTTTTTGATGTCAATGGCATGTATTCTAATTACTGTATTGATATTATTAGTCAAGCGAATGTCACATAGTTTTGATTACGCTGCGCTGGCCAAAAGTGCGTTGCTTACTTCTTCGTTGAATTGGACGTTGTGAGATAATGGCTGAGGTGTTAGTAGTGCAGACAATGTAATATTTCAATATTGCGTAGCTGTTTCAATAAGGCAGAAAGTATGTGCTGTTGTAGCATCATCATGTTTTTCTTTCCGTATACGTACGTATTATACGGAGTAATGTACGTAGTAATAGGGAAGTTATGTAATGTTGCGGAAAAATCGATTTCGAGATTTCAACGGAAATACACGTTTTGAGGTTCTCTTATAACGAAAGATAGCTGTTTTTTAACGTCCACCCTGTTAGAGTTAAAGTACTTTAAAATGACTTCAAATTAAGTGTTTCGAAAAATGAAAAGTGTGTCTGTGAAGCTGTCAATGTTCGAATTACAGTAAGCTTAGACTTATAAAACGTCTTACCAATTTATAGTTTAAAACTGAGACACGCCCCAAATAAATCTTTTTCAAAGAAAATTGTTATATAGGACGATGTTTTTACTGTTATTAATAATAATAAATATTTCCTCTCTACAATTAGGAAACTGGAAAATTAAGAAAATGTCAAAAAAAATGTATTGGGATTTGATAAATGGGCAGCTGGTAAAGGTCTGTGGCAAGTTCGTATATCTAGCCGAGACTAAAGGACAAAGGAAATAGAATAATTACACGGGAAAGTGTGTGCGTTCTGTAACACTAGTTCATGACTGAGACACAATATGACATAGTGACTCTTTGTTAATGTTTAGAAGTAGGCAAATTATGCATTTCCCTTGTAGTTAATGAAAAAACAATGTTGTCAATTGCAATAAGACAAAAGCGCCGAATATTTGTTTTCATATCTTGATACTTAAAAGCGACTTATAACATTTTGGCCATGTTAGCATAGAGTTTGTTCATTGAAAATGTCACAAAACTAAATGATTATTTTTGACGTCTTCTACAAAGAAGCTCGAAGTTTTGCAGAATGTTGACATCAATTGAATCGTTTATTTCAGAAACCCGTAAAGCCAAATTCGAATATTTGAGAACATTAAGTCTAAGAATATTTCGTAATAATTCGTGCATCACATGCTCCGTCAAAAATTAGCAGTGTTAACTTTATTTATTTGCATTTTTTGTGTGAGAAATTTCAAAGACAGAAGAAGCACACTTAGAAATGTACGAGGGTTGCCTTTTATATTTCAGGATTAGAGAACAAAAACAAATTATTAATCATCTTAAATCACTTTATTGTTTTTCAAAATATTCTCCATGAAGATCATATACACTTTTGCATGCGTTTGAACAAATTTGTCGAAGCACTTTTTGCACTCTGATTGAGGTATCTCCAAAACATGCATTCTGAATGCAGCAACGCTTCTTCAGATGTTGAAAACGTTGACATCTCGTTTGTTTCACGTAAGGGAATAAAAAGAAGTCATTGGTGCAAGTCAGGACTATTCGGCGGTGACTCATCAAATCGATGATTTGGGTGCTCAAGAATGCAAGTTGTTTGAGCCGATGTGTGAGAGCTCGCATTGTCGTGTGAAGAGTGATCGTCTTCGGGGCGTTGGTTTCCTGATTTTTGGAAGATCATCTGGCAAACAAATCGTTTGTGTACCATTCAGAAATTGACTGTTCTGCGTTGTCTAGTGGTGCGGTTTGCGACATGTCCAGTTTTTTTCGAAAAAACAGGCGACCATATGTTGGAAGTGTTTCGTGCGGAAACAATTGTTGGATTTTGCTCATCTTGAAAGCCCCATATGTCGACTGCTGTTTACTTTCGGCCATACGCGTAAATCACAATTCATCACCTGTCACGATGTCATAGACTTGTTCCGAAGCACCGCGATCGTATTTTTTGAGCATTTCTTTCGACCAATCGACACGAGCCTTTTGTTGAGCGATTGACAAATTGTGTGGGATCCAACGCGAACAAATTTTTTTTACAGTCAATGTTCATGCAAATCTCACAACAGGTCACATGCCGATTTGCAATGTCAGTTCACGCACGGCATCAATGGTTTTCGGAACAACTGATTTTGGACAACCTTCGCGAAATTTGTCTTGGAGTGAACTACGCCACGATTGAATTCACCATACAATCGATAAACACTGGTCATGATGGAGCTTCATCGCCAAAAATTGAATTAAGTTCATCCATGCACTGTTTGCTGAGTTAATCCACGTCGAAAGTTGTAAAAATAATCGCACGAAAATGTTCACGATTCAATTCCATTTTTGGGCCAAGATAATCTTTTAAGTTACTGTAAATAACACAAATAGCGTTCGTATGTCAAAGCGTTCTGAGTACGTAATAACCTCAAAACATCCAACTTTACGATAGGCTGTTCAGATTTGGCTGTCAGTTGCCAGATTGCAACACCAGGGTTGCCAAATCCCGAAACATAAAAGGCAACCTTCGTAGTATTCTTGACGATTTAAGTTTGAAGGTTTTTTGGTTTTCTTTCACTGAAAATGCTTTATAGCCGCCCCACGATTTGCAGTGAAGTTTATCCTTTTTAGTTATAATACTCTTCAATATTCCGAAGATTATTAAATTCCATTGAAAAATGGGTATTACCGATTTTCTATCGTGTTTGACAGACGTGTTTTTGGGCACGCCAATATGGCGGACTGGCTTCACTTGCGGAAAGTGTCAGAGGTTGGTAAAGCCACCTCCATGTATTCATAGCTCCATGTGTTACGTGTTCTCTTATTGAAAGAACTATGAAAGGGAATTGTGGGTGGGAAATATGAAGAGACAAATTGACTAAAGTTAACTAATAAGTAAATATGATTAATTAAATTCAGGTAAAAATTTAATTCCTGTATGTAGTACCACAGGCGTTAACTAGTTCTATTGATCTCGGGTGACAAAAAGCTGTCAGGCCAAAGACCCTTGTGCTTTTTGTCACCTCTTGCGTTAACGATAGCTGGGACGTAGGAAATAATGTTATAGACGTCTGAAAATATTGTAAATGTGATTGTAGAGAAACTAGTGAGTCGAGGTACGTGCCCAGATCATCATAGGTTCAGGCTGGTCATTTTCTGGAAAACTGATAATGGACGTATGAAACTATGATATTAATTAAATCATTATTACATTTTTTTGCTCGATTTTTGTGTGTGGAGAAATATTGTTCATTTATACCTTCTCAAGGCCAAATAAGATAACTGACGAATTAGTATTAGACTGGCTTGAATATTTTTTAATAGAGTAGTAGCGGGCCTGATCCTCTTCTGTGTGTCGTTGACAACTTCTAAAGAACATCGAGCCGTCAAGATATAAATTCATTCTATGTTCATTTCAGGTTAAGGCCATTGCTGTGGTCAATGAGGCTCATGAGTAATCTAATAAAAGGATGTCTGGCCTCAATGACCTCTGCTGTTGGAGGGCCCCTAATGATCTAATAAGGGAATAATACGGCGATAATGGTATAAAATAATGGCCAGTGGTGGAATGAGAGGCAGGGAAACTGGAGGGTCCCAAGAAGACTTGGCTAGAGACAGTTTTGTCTGTTACATTCCACGTGGGTTGGCCGGAGATCGAACCTGGGTCTCAGCCGTGAAAGACGAAAGCGCTAACCATTACGCCTTGAACCCTCCCCCTCCCCCTAATTTGTTAAAACACTTTTCCTTTTAATATGTAGTACATTGCAGTTGGCAGTGGAAAAGTGTACCGGCAGTTGTCATATTCATTCGGTGACTTGGGATCGATCGTATATACTGTGCGCAACCAGATAGTTTTGAAATGTGATGGGCACGTGGAGAAGGTGATCAACCCCGGGAGGTGCTATTTCAGGGCTGCGTTGTGGGTGCGCCTTTGCGCGCGTGTGCGTGCATACTATCCTTGGCAAGGCAATCCACAGCTGCCACGTGCGTAGTAGTTAATGATTTGCCGTACCGGCTTGCTCCGTTCAGTGTGTCGCAGTGTGTGAATATCAAGGGGTATTTATCAGATATCCGAAATTCTTGTGCGGAAATTTAATCGTGTCACACACGTTTTCCAACAGTTCGATATTCAAACTGGCGCAGGGTTTTAGAAGAAATATTAGTTTAATCTAGACATTTGAGGTCATTGACCTGTGAACTACAAATTTTCTTAGATCCAGTGGTACGACGTCTGAGCAATGGCATTGTAAGTATTTGTTGGGTGATTTGAACTTACTAGTTGGGAGATTTCACATTTACAAAACAGTTCTATTAATTCCTTGTGAGCGGTCGTTTTCTATAACTTTTGACTTCTCTTGAGTTAATTTCTTGACCGGTGTTTGTAAACCAACGAAATACAGTATTAATTAGTACGTACTATATAAGCAATCGAAGGTTTGTAACGCATTGGCACTGTAATTTGTCATACACGCATGTGGTAATCGTAATTTCAGTAAGATTGCATTTTCTTATTAATGAGAAGATTGGTTCTGTGTCAGACATCGGCATCAGTCTAAAATATGCGTTATTAATTATTAATTCAATTTCGCCAAGTAAGAACTTTTTAAAAAAATTAAAGATTAAATCAGTCCATTATTTGAGATCAGATTTGTTAGTTCAGCATTCTAAATGTATTTCTTGGAGTTGTTAATATGAACATTATCTTTACAAATGTGCTGATGTTCTGGAAATGCAACAAGAGTTCAAGAATAATTGTTTTCCCCTCCCTATACTATAGTATTATCAACATTTCGACTATGGGATTTGAAATGGAAACAAAATGTTCAAAATTACTTGAAGTTAGGAATTCAATTCTGGATCCTGTTCTCCTTGCCAAGTTCACAAGAAAACAAGTAATTTTATCAAGACTGATTGTGTCTAATTTTGCACTCAAAGTATTATCAAAATACTAACATAGGGTACATAACAGTATTCCTATTTTTATAATCTATCTATTGCTGATAAGAAAAGTATATATAGTTATATTTCAAAACCAAAGATTAAATTTCTTGAAAACGAAAAATATTACCAACAATATATCTACACCGTATCACTTGCCCCGTGATTCTTCATTGTTGAGCGAAAGCTGCACTTCGAAGTTGTTAACTTTTAGAGTTTTTAAATAAATAAAAGTAATCGATCATACTTAGCACCAATAGGCCATAATAATGTCAAGGTTTCCATCAAAACATACGCTTACATTATTTGTTGCTTCTATATGATTCACATTCAAGAGGTTCGGCACGGTCTTGTCTGCTTTATTTAAAGCACCCAATATAACTTTTGCAATGAACCGTCCCTCGGCGTAGGTGCTTTCGTTTATAGATACACACGAATTGCTTGATAGTTTTTCTTGAATAGCTGCCGAAACATTATTGTAACAACCTCCCACGTACACTGAGGTGATAAAAGTCATGGGATAGCAATATGTAAATATATAGATCGCACTGCTATCACGTATAAACAATGTAAAAGAGCTCTGCATTGACAGATCTTTAATTTCTACTCAAATTATTCATGTGAATATATTTCCGACGGGATTATGGCCGTATGAGGGGAATTTACAGTCTTCGAACGCTGAATGGTAGCTGGAGCTAGACGCTTGGAACATTCCATTTCGGAAAACGTAAAGGATTCCAATATTCCGAGATCCATAGTGTCAAGTGTGTTACGAGAAGACTTGATTTCAGGCATAACCTCCCACCACGAACAACACTGGCCGACGGCCTTCACATAATAACCGAGAGCAGCGATGTTTGTGTAGAGTTGTCAACGCTGACAAGCAACACTGTGTGCAACAACCGCAGAAATCTATGTGTACTAACGTATCCTTTAGGGCAGTGCGGCGAAATTTGGCTTTAATGGGCAATGGAGGCCGAAGACCGTCTCGAGTGCCTTGCTAACAGAACGACATTATCTGCTTCTGGGCTCGTGACTATATCGATTGGATCCTAGACCACTGGAAAATCGTGGCTTAGTCAGATGGGTCTCAATTTCAACTGGTATGAGCTGATGGAGGGGTTCGAATGTGGCACAGACCCCACAAAGCCTTGCACTCAATTTGTCAACAAGGCACTGTGAAAGCTGGTGTTGGTTCCATAATTGTGTGGGCTGTTTTTACATGAAATGGATTGGGTCATCTGGTCCAAGTGAACCGATCATTTAATGGAAATGTTATGTTCAGCTACTTGGAGACCATTTGCAGAAATTCATGGGCTTAGTGTTTCCAAACAGCGATAGAATTTTTGTGGATGACAAAGCGCCATGTCAACGGGTCACAATTTTTAGCGAGTGCTTTGAAGAACATTTTGGATCTGGAAAATTCGAGCAAATGGTTTGGCCACTCAGATCGCACGACATAAATCTCATCGAACATTTATGGGGCATAATCGAGAGGTCCGTTCGTGCACAAAATCCTGCAACGGCAACACTTCCACAATGATGGACGGCTTTAGAAGCAATTTGGCTCAATATGTTTGCAGGGGAGTTCCAAACGTATGTGGAGGCCATGCCACATCGAGTTGCTGAACGTCGTCGGACGAAAGGAGTTACGATACGTTAGGAGGTACCCCATTACTTTTTGTCACCTCAGTGGATATCTTCGGCAGTGTACTTTCAAGGATGTCTTCGGCAGGCCATTTTGTTGAGCCTATTTTCGGGGTAATGTATTTAGAACTGGGTTATTGATGTTCCATAAAGTAATTACAGCTGCTAAAAATGCTTCATATAGAATTTCAGAAGAAAACTGACTTATTCTGCTCTCTAAACAATCTACCAGTTGTTACCATTTTCATGCGCACGTTCATGTGTGTGTGTGTGTATATATATATATATA